TATTTGTTTTACAAACATCTTTATTTTGCTCGTTCTCATTTTCAGGTGAAGGTCGTTAAAAAGCATGAAGATGCGACACCCGGGCCAAAACATGTTCCTGTGCAGAAACCGGGGGAAAAGAAAGGTAGCTTGCTTTTAAAACTTTTAATTATGTTTCGTTTCTTCTTAAATGGTAAATTTTGTAGATGTTAGCCATGAGTTACCCAAGGTGTACGATCCGGGGTATGTGGAGTCTGATTGGTACTCATGGTGGGAGAAACAAGGTTTCTTCAAGCCAGAATATGGAGAAGAAAATGGCCGGTAAGTTTTATTTGCTTGAGGTATTTCACTAATCTTTTTTATCCTGTCGCAGAACCTCGAATCCCAAAGGTCGCTTTACCATTTGTATCCCACCTCCAAATGTTACTGGAACTTTACATGTCGGTCATGCACTGGCTACCACCATAGAGGATACTATGACGAGATGGCAAGTTAATTGTTACTTTATTTGTCGGTAATCCTTCATAAGACGATTTTTTAAGGAACCGGATGAAAGGGAAAACAACACTATTCAATCCAGGCTGTGATCATGCCGGAATTGCAACGCAGGTATCATATGTTCTTAACTATTCTTTCACCGCAGAAGTTTTTATCAGATCTACTTTTAAAAACCTTTCATATGAGTATTGCTTTTCAGTTGAAAGTTTTCTTGCAAGTCGATTAAATTAGTTTTCTGCTATATGAGGAACTTTATACTCGTACCGTACTATGTCCAAATTTTACTTTCTGCAGGTAGTGGTGGAGAAAAAGCTACAACGTGAGAGAGGTTTGAGCCGTCACGATCTAGGTCGTGATCGTTTTATTCAAGAAGTATGGAAATGGAAACATGAGTATGTACCGTTCTATCTCCTTCACTTCTACGAGTTCAATTGTTTTAACTTCTTCTCAGAAAAGGCGGAGTTATTTATGATCAGCTCCGCAAATTGGGTGCATCTGTTGATTGGGATCGAGCATGTTTTATGATGGATCCAAAAATGGTGCGTGCAGTCACGGAGGCTTTCGTCAGAATGCACGAAAGCGGCACGATCTACCGCTCGAATCGTCTTGTGAACTGGTCATGCGCTTTACGTAGTGCTATCTCGGACATAGAGGTGAAGTCGCATGTTTGATAGGTTTTTTATAATAAGCATTTTTGTCGCATTCTATGTTCTTCTAGTAAAATCAAGCTCCGAAATTCTTCTTTGTCCTCCTATAATCTGCTCCCAAGGCGAGATGGTTTATCATAGCGACACGTTTACAGGTTGACAAAAAAGAGCTAA